AAGCACTTCCCTGGCAAGCACAAGTGCCTGAGTTCAATCCCTGGTTCCACCAAAAAAAAAAAAAAGAAAGAAAAAAGAAAAAAGAAAAGAAAAATGTTTTCTAGCCAACTTGAATATAATCTTGTAAGGGATGTTTATCACTAAAGATTAAACAAACCATTATATATGCCATAACCAAGTTTGTTCCATCAGTAAACAAACCATTTAAACAATATATACTTGAATGAACTGATTACCAAATAAATTAAGAGTTATTTCAGAGATATAAAAATGAAAAAGTTAAAAAACTTTTTAAATTATTTATTTGGTATAGGGTCTCAGCTTGGATTCATAGTGATCCTCCTGTCTCAGCCTCTGCAGTGCTGGGATTACATGTATGCATGGTGTATCCGGGGTTCCAGTTCTAGCATGGCATGTGGAACTGGGGATTGAACCCAGGTCCTTGTGCTTGCCAGGTAGGCACTTAGACCTGCAAGCTATCTCCCCAATCAAAAAAAAAGTTAAAGATTTTTGAGACAGTAAGTTGGGGCCAGAGAGATAGCTCAGTGGACTAAGCACCTGCTTTGGCAAGCGCAGGGACCAGGGTTCAATCCCCAGTCCTGCATGCCAGCCCCCATGGTGCACTGAGCCAGCAACTAAGTCCCAGCATGGTAGGGCATGCCTGTAATCCCAGCACTGGGGAAGCTGAAAACAGGAGGATCACTATGAGTCCAAGCTGCATAGTGAGGCCCTGTACCAAATACATAAAAAGTAAAAAATTAAAAAATTATAAAAAAAGGTAAGTTCACATTTTTCTTAGTAAGCCAAGAAAAACATTTTACCACTTTATTCAGTAAATGACATTGTTTGATTTTAAGATGCTAGATTTTATTTATTTTTTATTTTTTATTTTTTTTCTTTTTTTGGGCAGAACTGGGGATTGAACTCAGGTCCTTGCACTTGCCAGACAAGTGCTTATTCTACTGAGCCATCTCCCCAGCCCTGATGCTAGATTTTACATCATGTAAACTTTCTAGTAATCAACAATGTAATTTCACTAATTGCTAAATTCTGCTCAAAATTCAGAATATCATAAAAACCCAGTGCAGCACTATTCTTCTTCGCCCCACCCAAACACAAATAAGGAATTTTTTTTGTGTGTGTGTGTGTGTGTGTGTGTGTGTGTGTGTGTGTTTTGCTCCTTGAATGCCTTCAGGGCACTTTTGCATGGCTGGAGTGTTGTTGGGGATCGAACTACAGCAAACTGAGGCTGCCAGCATTGTGGAAGCTGCCACTTAAAGAACTGAGCTAGGGCTGGGCCCCCAGACACAAATAATACTGCATGTTTTTATATATTCCACTGCAAGGCACACCCAGGAGTTGCCACTTTTTTATCCAAAAGCCAGAATGTCATTATCTACCTGAAAAAAAAAAAGTATAAACTGCCTCCATATCTATGGGTTAGTTATCTACAGACTCAAGCTTTTCTAACTTTTTTCTTTTTTCCCCCCCCCCAACTCAAGGAACACTTTTACTGGGTTGGGGGTATAGCTCAGCGGCACAGGCCTACCACCTAACAAGCACAAGGCTGTGAGTTTAATTCTTGGTACCAAAAAACACGAACAAATAAGGAATACTTTTACTCCTTTTTTACTTTTTAAAAGAGAATTTAAAAATAATAAAAAATGAAATGCAGAATTTCAAAAAAAAAAGATAGGAACTCAACAATGATTGTTATATTGCATACTGTTGTATTTAAAGTAGTTGTTCAGATTATCAGATATAAGCATGCAAAGTTGGTCAAAAATTAAGCATTAACTGTTCTTTCAATTAACCAATAGGGGGCTGGGGAGATAGCTCAGTAGAATAAGCACTTGCCTGGCAAGCGCAAGGTCCTGAGTTCAATCCCCAGTACTGCAAAAAACCATCAAACAAACAAACAAACAAAAACACAAAATCAATTAACCAATAGGAATTAATAGTATAATTATTTTAGTGATCTTGTGTGTATATGTATTTTTTTCTTTTCCTACTTTTCTTTGTTTCCCTCATCCCAGTTCTTTCCTACTGAGCAGTTACTGTACCTTTCACAATATCTATTATACCCTTCACATTTATTTACACTTCTCTTTTTCTTTTTCTTTTTTTTTTTTTTTTTTTTTGGCGGAACCAGAGACTGAGCTATCTCCCCAGTCCCTTATTTATTCTAACGTATTTGGCTGTTGCAGGGTCTCACTGCTCAGCTCAGACTCGTGGTAATCCACCCATATTCAGCCTCCCCAGTGCTGGGATTACAGGCATGCAACACCACCAGACTCTGCTGGCTCAGCCAGCCCTGGAGGCAAGGCTGGAGTGGCACATGGTGCTGGGAATTCAACCGTGGTCCCTGTGCTTGCCTAAGCTTGTCTAAGCAGAAGCTTTAGTCCACTGAGCTATCTTGCCGGCCCCCAGATTTTATTTTCTCTTTCAGGTTCTTATACTAGGGAGGCAATACAATGTTTACAAATGAGAGTTTGATTTATTTCACTTATGAGTATGGTCTCTAGTTGCATTCATTTACCGATAAGTCCTCAAATTTATCTTTCTTTATAGCTAAGCAATACTCCATTGTATAAAAACACATTTTTTAAAATTTATTTATTTTTTATTTAGCACAAGATCTACAGGGTACAGGGTCTACAGGGTCTCACTATGTAGATCAGACTCTTAGTGATTCTCCTGCTTTCAGCCTCCCAAGTGCTCGGATTACAGGTGCGTGCCACCATGCCTAGTCTCAATTGCTGTCTCAGCATGTCCTGGTCCCTGCACTTGCCTAAGCAGGTGCTTTAGTCTGCTGAGCTATTTAGCCGGCCCAAAATTCCACATTTTTAAAAATCTATTTCTCAGCTGATGGACATTTGGGTTTTTTTCAAGAATTGGCTATGACAAATTGCACTGCTATAATCATGTCTGCACGTATATTGCTATGATATGTTTTTAGTTCTTCTGGAAAAATACCTAGAAGAGGAATAGCTGGGTTGAGCAAGACCTCTAAACCCAGTTTTTTGAGGAATCTCCACAGATTTCCACAGTGGTTATACCAGTCTACACTCCCACCAACAGTTTCTTTTTCCCCACAACCCCTCCAGCAATATTCTTGGTTGGCTTCTTAAGGATAGTCATTCTTTCAGGGGTGACATGAAGTCTCAGTGTTTTTTAAATTTGTATTTCTTGAATGACCAATGTTGTTGCACTTTTTTTTCCATATATTTATTTGCCTTTTATATGTCTTCATCTGGAAATGTGTATTCATTTCAGATGCCCATTTTGGATACTTATACTTTCTTTTCTTTTTTTGGTGGAACTGGGGAATTTTTTTTTTTTTTTTTTCCCTAGATAGTCAGCTCATCCCTGGGGCCAGTGGAGCAGCACACCTGGGTATCAAAAAAGAAACTCACTTGTTAAACTCAGGCCCTTGCGCTTGCCAGGGAAGCGCTTATTCTACTGAGCCATGTCCTCAGCCCCTGATCCTTTTACTTTCAAAACCAGCCTGGATTTTTTTTTTGTGAAACTGAGTTCCACTATGCAGTTCAAGCTTGAATTCACTTTGTAGCACAGGCTGGCCTCATATTCGCAATGATCTTCCTGTCTCAGCTTCCCAAGTATTAGTATTACAGGCATGTACTGCCACATCTGGCTAATAATATATTTTGATATATCAGTGAATAACTACATTACAAAAAAGAAACATGTATAATGCTGTTTGGCTGCTGGGTAAATAAGCTGTAGTAGGTAATCTGGCAAGGCAGAAAATTAATGGCCAAATAGAATCTGGTCTAAAGTAAACTATTCAATAGGGGATTAAAACATTTTTCATCAAAACAATATTTTCAA